GGGTGCTTAGGCATACGATTAGAGACTGTAGCTAAACTCGGCAGTTTGGTAGCTTGAAGTCTGTTTTGGACGCAAGTCCGAGGTCACATCTAGTTGAGGTCCAAGGATCCTCTTTCCCACCTTGAGCACAGGTATGGTGATGAAGCTGTTCGGCACCTACAAGCTGACTTATCAACCGGAGCCCGACATGCCCCCACAGGAGGTCGACTTTACGCCACCCTTTAAACGCATCGACCTCTATGACGCCTTGAAGGAGCACTACACAGGTGTGGAATTCCCACCTCCGGAGACCCTTCATACAGAGGAGGCTCGTCACAAACTGGTAGCCATCGCTGCCAAGTTTGGCGTGCAGTGCAGTGAACCACAAACTTCTGCTCGCCTCTTGGATAAGGTTCGTTTCTCATGACCTAGTCTCTGGAACAAGTCACCGTGGTTTTTTTCTCAGTTAATGGCATCTCATTGTTCGGATTCATATGACTAATTCCTTTCGGTATCGTATATGTAAAATGTTGCCTGTGATTTTGCTCTTGGGACTGCTAACTGCGTGTTCACCTTCCCTTCTACCAGCTTGTGGGTGAGCGAATCGAACCTCTGTGCATCAATCCTACCTTTATCATGAACCACCCAGAAGTTATGAGCCCTCTGGCCAAGTGGCACCGCTCGCGACCGGGTCTAACTGAGCGCTTTGAGATGTTCTGTCTCACCAAAGAGCTTATCAACGCGTACACTGAGTTAAACGACCCCGTTGTCCAGCGTGAACGCTTTGAGGAGCAAGCCAAGGTAAGCGTTCATTCCTCTCATGACTCGTATTGGGCTAAATTTCGGTGCTCAACTTCTTTACTTCCAGGATAAGGCTGCAGGGGACGACGAAGCAATGTTTGTGGATGAGAACTTTGTGAATGCGCTCACCTATGGTCTGGCTCCAACCGCAGGCTGGGGCTTCGGTATTGACCGTTTCATGATGTTCATGTCGAACACGAACAACATCCGAGAGGTCATTATTTTCCCCACCATGCGGCCGGAGGAGAACAGCACCTCCTGTGAGGCATCAGTTGATGCAAAGACGTCTGTCGATAAGTGACCAACACTCCGATGTTCATCTCGTCTTTGTACATTAGTGTTCTGGGTAATTTAACTCCCTTTTTACTGGATTCTGTTTCTCCTTGGAGTGGAGAAGTTGCATTAGGCTTTGAGTAGTGTTGTGCTTTCACCGCAAGTGAAAAGTTGTTGAATGTGATGTAACCGTCAACATGCCTCACTTCTGGTTCTGCAGTTTTTGACTGTCATAGGATCGCGCAGTTTTCTCTTATTTGCTGAGATGGCAAACACAACCAGTTGCTGGCGCATGCAACAGGGAGTGCTAACCCTCCTAAAAGGGATTGCGCAGATAAATTTCTGTACTGA